CTGAATCTCTGAAGAACGAAGGGTTTTTGGCATTTTTTTGCTATAATCCATTCTCCTATCCAGTTTGTGTGGTCTCCCTGAATCCACAAGTTTGCACTATGCTAGCTGTAATCTTTAGCCTAGGCCACTGGAGAAGCCATGGGTTGAAATTCTCCAAAACCTCATCCCCAGAAAATTGTACCTATTTGCTCTGTCTGGCATGCTAGCTGAAGCCTTATGAGGGGCATGTCTTTATATGAACTGGATTCGAGTCAATGTGTGAACAACCTTCTTTTAGGTTTTGTCAAAAAATATATATATTCACACACACTTATCTAGTATATATACATATATTTCAACAACATTGTTTAACAGTAACAATGCCACAGTAGCTGAGGTGGCATAATTTAAGGGTAAAATGGGCTCATAAATACATAATAGAAGTAGCAACTTGAGAATGAGCTATCATATGGTTATTTAAAAGCTTTGACTATTCCTCCAGACCTGATTGCAATGCATCTCCAGAACAGATATATTATACCGGAAAGATTAAGAAGCTTAATATCTGACCTCTGGCTGACTGTGAGGCTCTCTACAAAGAGCGAGTGGAAGGCTGGGAAAGGTTAAAAAAACATGACGAACTTAAGACATGCCCAATATATTTACCAGAGGTTCTTGCATAGGCTGTGAGATTTATTGGTTCAAGGATTTAAGAGACTTTTGCTATCATTAGCTGAACATAATGTAACTGGCACAGTGGATTGGCTATGCACATAAAGAAGCAATCTTTACGATTACTCTAGAAGGTCAATAATAAGCAAACAAATAAACAATATATACTACGTGGCTTTTTCGCATAGTTGCATTTTATTAAAATGCCTGTTTTCAACAAAGGCAATTTAGACACCAAATAATCAGGAGCATGGCCATACGAGAAAAAATTGCGTCATAGAATGGCCCTGAGAACCAAATGTACTATTAGACAAATGATAGTCAACTGATTATAATTGTTAGCACTAATGAAAATGGGCCAAACTAAAGGAAGTATATGAACATGGCTCACAAAATCGACATATCAAGAGTATAGAATTATATTAAAACAATGTTCTGTAGTGAAGAGTGCATTAATACATTAAATTCATAGGGACTCAAAACAGATTTGAACTAGCAGAGGATATCAATGACTTAAGCAGATATTGACTTACTCAGATAGAGAGACAAGTATAAGCAGAGTCTTAGAGACTTTTAGAAACCATAACAGACAGTATATTATGATGGAAGTTCTTAAGAACAAGAGGAAGAGAAGGGCGGAAGAGTTTGAGAATAATGGATGAAGTTCAAACATTTGATGAAAGATTAATCTGCATATAAGAAGCTCAGTAAACCAAGCAGGATAATCAAGATTTGACCTAGACATGTAAAGTCGACACATCAAAAACCAATGATGCGGGGGCAGAGCAGATGGCGGAGAATAACACTGCCGACAGGGTCTCTGCAGGAAAGAGTCTGCAGAATTGTAGAGGAAAGAGCAGAGACGGCATACGCGGAAAGGGCTGGAGGAGTCCTGAGACCCCCGGGAGGACTCCACGGAGGAGCTGCGGAGGAGGAACTGGAGGTGAGGACACGGGAGCATGCCGGGACCAGCAAGCAAGGGTAGGTGGTTTGGCTGTTTCCATCCCCTGCATTTGGGACTGTGGTGGGTCCCAGCGGTGTGGAGGGCCTGGGACACCAGTCCAGAGACCACCGCCACCAGCAAACGGTGAGCTGTAGCAGACGTGGCGCCAGGTTCCAATTCTCGGGCCCTCGTGGCCAGACCGAGCCGCGGGCAGGCGCCTTTGCCTCCTCTCCTCCGCCGGCTACCCCGGCTGCCCAGGGCAATACAGCCACGCGGAGGCACCTCAGGGAAACGGACTTCCGTTTGGGACCCTATACCTGACTCAGGGGAATCCGGCTGTGAGCACTACCCGCCCGCGCTCCAGGTTGCTGCTGGCACGTTTACCAGGAGACGGTGCCGGATCAGATGCTGAGAGCATAGCCGCTTGGGCTCCTTGGGTGATTGGACCGGAACATCCTTCTCCTGGTGGGATACAGTTTAGAACTCTGGACCGAGGTCGGACCTGCGATCGATCCCCTGCCACCGAGGGCCTAGCATTGCCGGGCACAGAGGGTTTATGTTGGAACAGCCTACTGAGGTCTGTGTTGCTCCAGGGGTGGATCGGCGTCCCTAGAGGGCAACCCCTTCTCCCAGGAGCCTTGTGCAACAGGTGGCGTTCTGTGCAGGGAACCTCCCCGCCGCATCACAGTCCAGGGAAGGCCTGGTGGTGTTGGTCTGCTGCTGGCAGGGTCAGAGTAGCTGCGGCTTGGGAGGGTGGAAGAAAGGCGAGGCCTGATCCAGACCTGGCGGTCTCAGGCAGCCCCACCACCCCGCTTTCTGGTGGCGACGATCCAGGCCCACCTGGCAGCTATCCCTGGAGCAGAGAACAAACTTTGACCTTGTAGCTTCAGGGCAGGCTTAGCCAACCAGCTCCGCCCGAACAGAGCTGTTAGCAGGACACAATCACAGTATAGCTGTCCTCCAACTGCCACTATGACAGGACGGCTATGCCCAGCTTTCCGGCCCCACTGACTCATATTACAGGGAGTGGTCTATTTACCACAGACCACCTAATTGCTCATAAAACTACAAGGTGTGTGAACACCCAACAATAACCTAAGAAAGAACAACAACTGATCGACATGGGAGAATCAGCGAAGACTCAGGAAATATGACGAACCAAAATGGAACCACCCAAGAGAGCACCAGCCCCCTAGGAAACGGACACCGACCAAATCAGGCAACCAATAGACAAGAGGAATTCGTATGTGGATCATAAGACACTCACCCAGTGCAACAAACTCAATAATCACATAAAGGAACCACAAAAAGTTACAGGTATGGGAAGAAATAAACACAATGAGAAGTGTACGATTCCTGGAATGAGAATCAATTCAGGAACTCAATACGGTGGAAGTCTAAGAACAGGTAATCAAAGAAGAAGAATCTTCAGAGCTTTGAGATATGGTTAGAGCTGGAACCCATACTACTAAGTGAAGTATCCCAAGAATGGAAAAACAAGCACCACATATACTCACCAGCAAACTGGCATTAACTGAGTAGCACCTAAGTGGACACATAGGTACTACAGTAATAGGGTATTGGGGAGGGGGGAGGAGAGAAGGGGGCAGGTATATACATACATAATGAGTGACATGTACACCATCTGAGGTGTGGTCATGCTGGAAACTCAGACTTGTTGGGGAAGGCGGGGAAAGGGCATTTATTGAAACCTTAAAATCTGTACCCCCATAATATCCTGAAATTAAAAAAAAAAGACCGAGATCTAAGAACAAGAGAGAGAAAGCAGATCATAATATCCTATTTACCCCCAGAATAGCTAAAACAATCTTGAAAAATAAAAGTAAGTCTGAAGAATTTACACTTATAGGTTTTAAAACTTACTATAAAATTGTGTAATATCAATCAAGACAGTGTAGAACTATCATAAAGGCAGACATACAGATAAATGGAACAGAACTTGAAATTTAGAAATAAACTCTGATGTATATGATCAATTCATTTTATAATAAAAAATGTGCCAAGGAAATTTAATGATGATAGTGTTTTAACAAATGATGCTGGGACAATTGGATATTCACATACAAAAATATACATTTAGACCTTTATTTCACACCATAAACAAAAAATTAATTCAAAATGGATTGTAGTCCTAAATATAAGATCTAAAATTATAAAAATTGTTAGACAAAAAATAGGAGAAATTATCTGTGACCTTGGGTTAGGCAAATATTTATTGAGCATGATATCAAAAGCATGATCTATTAAAAAGAAAGTTGATAAATTCAATTTCATGTAAATTTAATACTTTTGTGCTTTAAATAACATCATTAAGAAAATGAGAACCAAATCAAGCCACAGACTTACAGAAAATGTTTGAAAATCATATATTTTTAAAAAGGACTTATATCCAAAATACATAAACAATTCTTGCAACTGTATAGGAAAGCAAATATTCAAATTAAAAATCAGGCAAAAAATTTGAAAGACATTTCTCCAAAGAAGGTATATGATTTAAATAGACATTTCTCTAAGTAAATACATGAAAATATGTTCAGCATGTTAACCATTTAGGGAAATGCAAATCAAATCCACAGTGTGTTAACATTTCACACCCACTAGGATGGCTATACTCAAAAAGACAGAAAATAACAGTGCTCGTGAGAATGTTGGAGAAATTGTAACACTCATACATTGCTGGTGGAATTATAATTTGGTGCAGTTACCTTGGAAAACATTTTTGAAAGTTCTTAAAATGTTTAGTATAAACTTACTATATAACCCAGCAATTTCACTCCTAGAAATCTAACCAAAAGAAATGAAAATGTATGTTCACTCAAAGAACTTTATGTTAATGTTGATAGCAATTTTCATAATAGCCTCAAACTGAAAACAACTCAGTGTCCATCAACTGGTGAATTGATAAACAAAATGTGGTATCCTCATAAAATGACATGTTATTTAGATATAAAAAGAAACAAAATATTGGTATATACTACCACATGGATGAACCTCAGAAACATTATGCTAAGTGAAAGAAGCAATATATGAGAGACCACATATTGTATCATTCATTTGTATGAAATATTAAAAATAGGCAAATCTATAGAAATAGAAAGTCGATTAATGGCTGCCTGGGGCAGGGGATAGCAACAAGGAATAATTGCATACAGGCATGAGGGTGATGGCAGCATTATAAAATTGAACTGTGATGGTTGTTGCATAACTCTAAATTTACTAAAATTCATTCTCTCAACCATACTTAATAAACATGACTACTCAGGACTTGTTACATTTCCAAAGGTGATACTTATATATTTTAAACTGATGAATTTCATGGAATATAAATTATACTTTAAGATATGTTTTAAAAAACAAACTGTAGTAGACGTTTTTATATTCTCACCAACAATGACTTGATGAATGTGCTTTGGTGTCAAAACTATGCTGCAATCATTTTTTTCTTGGGGTGTGGTTGGCTCTGATTTAAGTGTTTTGTGAACCTGTAAAAAAAATTACATTTTTCCAAAATTAATCATTCAATATTAGCAAAAGCTATTTTAAGAATTCTCTCAGTATAACCAAATGTAAAATATTGCACATACCTTTCTTCTTAGGGATGCTTTCTCCCTAGATGCTATATTCCTGGTACTTAGCAATTGATTAGCTTTGATGGGACACTCTGTTGAAAAGAGGTCCTCTTCCACTTCTGCTTCTGAGAGTGACGGTGACTTTAAACCTGATGCTGGCTGTAAGCCTATATCTGTATCATTACGTGAAGACATGCACTCCCTATCAAAATAAGAATAATAAGAAGTAATTGAGTCCAAGTCATTTAGAAAATATATCTGTGAATACAAATATTCCCCATGGCACATGTTGCTGCCACCTTACTCATATTCACTTTACCAGAACAATGCACTATTTATTGTGCAGAAAATTGTCCTCTGCTGAGGGTTCCCCTTTCTCAACCACCTCACCAAAGAAGTTATGCCCATCCCTGCCACACTCAGGAACAGGTCAAAGTCAATGACTGATATGGAGCACAAAAGATAAATCCCTTTGGCTCAAGGCAGTGACAACTGTGTGGTATAACTTAGACTCAAGAGACTCTGGGCATTAGGTTCAGTGTAAACTTTATTTGAAACACATCCTTCCTCAGCTCTCTTCCCTGCCCTACTCTGCTTTCCTCATCCTGAGAGCACACTCTCCATAAATCACAGGCACTGGAATTCCTATCTCAGGATTTGCTTCTGGGGAAACCCATCTAAGACATTTTCAAATCAAAAGTAACAAAAGAAATAATTGTAGTTAAAGTAGTTCAATGTTTTGCTTTTTATCATATATTAACATGTCATCTAAATCATTAAAAATAAACTAAGGAGTAAAGAAAAAATTCTGTCTCTGTAGGCACCATGATCTGTTGCATATTCTTTGAGGAATTGAACTTTACCTCTCTGCTTGCTTCTGCAGGCGTACATTTCTTAAATATTTAATATACATTGCATAGTAGTAGTTATGTGCTTTCTTTTCCATTTTTTCAAATTCAGTATATGCAAAATCAGGATCCACATAGTTATATCTTGGAATCTTTGTGAAAATCGTCCTACAATATAATCAAGTCATATTCATATTTATATGCATGCATTTGTTCAATCATTATTTGTTGAGGATCTCCTAGCCAATTTCTATTTCAGATGCTGTACATAGAATGGAGATAGGACTGATTCTAGTCCTTTGTCTCATATCCAATATTAAGACATTACTACATGTAGATATTAAGACATTACTACATGTAGAACTAGAGTAAGACTTAATTTTTTTCTTAACTTAATAAGAAAAATACCCCTTCTTCTTCAAGTCCTTGGGATGTAATGGCACCTGTCTTAAGCACATCCCTGGGAAATTAGGGAGGCAACTTAAACAGTTCTAGAGTACAAATGGAACTTTAAGAAATTAGATCTGAATATGACTAGTGTTTCCTGAAAGTTAATTATTTTTAGATCTTTGTGATCAAAATTAGAAAAAAATTATATAGCATAATGAATCATTTTATTAAACATGCTACTACCTCCTTAAAACCTTAGAGCTTATGAAATAACCATCAATAATAAATCTACACAGAGTAAACAATCCATAAAAGGACTGTAAATTACTTCATGTCTCATAGTCACTCAATTGGGCTCTTCCTTTTTACTCACCATATATATTCAATACAAAACAAAAAGTGCAATTATTCACACTTCTGGACTTGATCTACCTCAATCCTCAGCAAATTTTATTAATCACTGAGATTCTCACCCTCAATAATCAACACCTAAGTATGAACCTTTTAATCACACAAATAAAAATTAATCTAATTTTTCTCCTCATCTTCAACAATTCTTCAATGTTTACAGTAAGACAGCTATAACTGAGTTAAAGTCTTTAAGACAGAGAGACAATAAGAGAGAAAAATATTTTGTTATTCAAATAGTTGTTGATATTTAAATTTCCCTTCAGGCTCAGAGATACATCAACAGGTTTAGAACCTAGAAATAATTCCTATATCTAAAGTCCTGAGGTCTGTAACAAGGAGAAAGAGACATGGAAAGGAGTAGTGGATTAAATGCCTAAAGTGGCATAGAGCTATTAACATATCTAAGTCCTTATCTACTCCTTAAAGAATAAACATCTAGGAATATTTCTGCAGCTTGAATAAGTGATTTAAAAAAAAATATGCTAAGTATAGGGGACAAAAATTACTGTGGAATAAAGCATTTTTCCTCATTTATTCATTCAAAAATATTTACTGAATGTCTACCATATTCCTGACACTGTTCTAAGCACAGGGCATACTGCAGCTAGACAAAATTTCTCACCTTATTTTCTTCTCAAAAATTGAAAAGTTAAAATGTATTAAAAATAAAATAGCAATTATGATTACCAAGAAGTATACTATAAAATTTATTTCATTACTTAAAGTTACTAATTGCTAACCACAAAATAATAAGACTAACTATTGTCTTACTACTAATGGAGAAAAGAGTTCATTGAGAAAAATAATTATGGTCACGGGATGAATAAGAAATGCTTTTGCCTTATTCAAAGAAATTCTGGCATTTTTAGACCATCTAATTAATACAGGCATAGACAGAAACAAAATGTTAACATTAAATTAACACATTATACCTCAATATAGAAATATTTGTATGAGCTTAAGAAAGAACTGAAAAATATACACAAATAATTGTTTCCAGAAGCCACCTGGGCAGGAAGGGAGGGGATACAATGAGCCACAGGGAAAGATAGACTTTCTTTTTTGATGATGATGATGATGATGATGATCGTGACACTATGATTGATTTTTCACAATTTTACATTTTTTAACTTAGATAAACTCAAGTTCCCAACCATACTTAATAAACATGACTACTCTGAGGACTTGTTACATTTCCAAAATATTGGGAAAATATGATTTAGAAATTAATGAGATGTAGCTCATAAGACCATTATTTTATTGTATCACCCTATATTACTATATTAAAGACAGAAACAGGAGTTTGCAGGGTTTTGCCCTGAAGGAATGTGTGAACTCAATGGTTCACTTATTAGAGGCTGCTATCATGGGAGACCTCTCAAATCTCTGGTGAGGATGTTTTCCAGGAATGCTTCCCAGTATCTCAAAATCTGTGAGTTTCCCTGTGTCTTGAAAGACAAGGCAAGGCAAATATGGCCCACAGGATGGGAGCCAGAGACAATGAATGCCCTTTACACAGAGATGTGCGCCAGTGGTTATAAACAACCTGTTTTATAGAGATGGGTTTACTGCTTTCTACTGACTGTCTACCTTTAAGTCCACAATTACTAATCAAAGAAATATAGAGTCACTATACCTCTTTTGTTATACCTCTGTTAATTGACAACTACCTCTTAGAACTTAGAAGTTAGCCCCTGAAAGACTTTGTACATGTTTGTTCACCTAGATAGATTAGAAGCCCTTTGAGAGGACTTTTGACCCCAACCCACTACCTGTCTCCCCTAGCAACTGCATTCCCTGATATGTAAATGTGTTACCCTGACAACTGGCAATTGAGGTCTGTGATTATAAAAACCTGTGTGAATCTAACCATATTGCTGGACGTTAATGGGGATATGTCCAATCTCCAGAGTAACCGCCCTATTATATCTGATCTTTTTATATAAAACTATAAACTATACCTTAGTCTCTGTGTATTCTTTTATTCTATTTCCTATCAATTTCCTTATCCTCTGTGGTGACCCCTATCTTAGGGACTTGTCTCCATGGGGAGAAGCAGCTGACCTCCTCCCAGGCCTGCCTCAACTACTCCCCCACACAAAGGCAATTATTTCTATCATTCTTCTATACTTGTTAGCAGCATATTTTAAGAAGCATTTTGTATATCATTCGCTTCCTGGAAATGACACAGTTGAGATGATGTGAGGATAGATAAAGCAAATACAGTGAGTGGCATTCAACAACCATCTCACTCCATGTGAAAGAAAAATGAGAAAAGAAACTTTTATTATTATTATTTGTATTGCCATCATTAATTTTATACTGCAGAATCTCATCAGACCACTGCATAATATATTGGTCATTATATTTTTCAAAATTTCAAGTTTTTAATATTGCATGTTACCTGAAATGTTTATCATGGTCTCCAGACCTGATACTTGCAGTTCGGTCATTAGGAAAGGCTATCAGCTCATCCTTCACTGACTCTTTATTTGAGCGATGATTGTGAATGTATGTCTTGGCTGATTGAAGCATTGCTACAGGTGCAGAGTCCTTGTATTTTGCCAAATCTTTGGCCACAAACTGTCCCGTGGGATTACTGACCAAAGGGGATATACCTTTACAGAATTGAATATTAAGTTTATATATGGTATTTTCAATTTTAGCTTTCCAAGCAATATGCGTGAACTAATTAATACACTAAATAATTGGTTCTGACTTAAATGTTAAACCCCTAAACAAACATAATCAGAAAATACAAATAATTCATTAATAAATAGACCTACACAAAACAATTTAGCAAAATAATGCATGCATAAATAATAAAAATACATGCATTAAAAATAAAACATAATAACTTGAAGAATTTAGGTTACCCATATGAAATTAATTTTAATTTTTATAAGTTAAAGACAGTTGAATATTGGCAATTTCATATGGTTTAATGTATAAAAGATAATGGAGGATTAGATGAAACAGTAGCAACAAGAAAATTCATGGAGTGGTCAAAACCAGTTTATATTATAGACTCATAAAAGTAAAAAGAATAAAATATAAAAAACCATTAAAATATTCAATAAACTGTATAGATCATTAAACAAGTGCTATTCAAAGTGTGATCCTCAGAAAGGCAGGCCTGCTTAACTATTTCTGGGATATAGACCAGTAATATGTGTTTAACAGGCCTTTCAGGTGATTTTGATGCATGTTAAAAGATGAGAATCACTCAATAAGACCACATTTGATATATACAGCTAAGCAATTAGTACACTAAGGTAATTCTATACTAACAAAAATATCACAATGAGCTGAACATCACACAGTAGCATACCAGGATTAATTTTCATCACAACTTTTTTGGTGGCTGGTTTGCAGATGCTGTTGAAATCTAAATATATGTGATGAAAAGGTTTCATTGATAAAGACAGCAAATTTTCATCCGCCACTAAGCCAATAATTTCTACCAACTGCTTCACTTTAAAGATTCCAATTTGATGTGGAATAAATGAACATATTACATTCTAAAATAAGAACAGGAAAAGTAATCAATATTATATTATTAGAAAAAAATGAAATAAAATTTTAAAAAGTTCATAAAATTTCAAGGAAAGCTAGTTCATAATGGTGATATGGAAGTACATCAGAAACATACAGCATTGACATCTAGAATACTTATTATGGAAAATTATTTAAATAAAATTTAAAAAATAGTACCAAAGCCCTTTCAGAAAGGCAGATTAAGGACCTCCAAAAATCTACTTCTCCACAAAAGGAAAGAGAAAACTGTCAAAATCGACTTTCTCAAATATCTGGAAATTGCCTAAAGGCTAACAAAAATCCAAGGAGGTATTTTACTTTCTTTGTTGCTATTGTGAAGATTACTGAGTCCTTGATTTGGTTCTCAGTTTGACTGTTGTTGGCGTATAGGAATGCTACTGATTTCTGTACATTGATTTTGTAAGCTGAGGCTTTGCTGAATTTGCTTATCAACTCCAGCAGTCTCATGACAGAATCTTTGGGGTTTTCTAGATATAAAATCATATCATCAGCAAAGAGCGGTAATTTGACCTCTTGTGCCTCCATTTGGAGGCCCTTAATTTCCTTCTCTTGTCTAATTGCTCTGGCTAGGACTTCCAGCACTATGTTGAATAGAAGCAGTGATAGAGGGCAACCTTGTCTGGTTCCAGTTCTAAGTGGGAATGCTTTCAGTTTTTCCCCGTTCAGTATGATGTTGGCTGTGGGTTTGTCATATATGGCTTTTATCATGTTTACGTAAGTCCCGTCTATGCCTATTTTGTTAAGAATATGTGCACATATAGTAGTAACATTCATTGGATGTCGGGCAGGTGGGAGGGGGGAGGAGTGGGTGGGTATAATCACACCTAACAGATAAAGTGCGCACTGTCTGGGGGATGGACATGTTTGAAGCTCTGACTTGGGGGAGGGGCAAAGGCAATATATGTAATCTAAATATTTGTAACCCCATAATGTGCTGAAATAAAAAAAAAGGTTAATATAAATAAAACATGCATAACATTATCAAATAGAGAATAGAAAAGTTGAAAACCACTTTGGTGAGTTTTTCCCATATATACTGAAAATATGAAATGTGATTTTTAATTCATTAAGGTTTCTAAAAGTGGGGTGTTTTTTTTCAAGAAAGAAGTTCTTTCCCAGGACTACAAGCAGAGGAGGGCAAAACTCACTACTCTACTACTGTACACATCTTCACAACCTGGAATCTTAGTTTGGATGGCTGCCCTTATAATGAACAACATAGAGTTTCTATACTTTCCTCTAATTCCAGAAACAGAAAATATTAATGGGTCTCTTGGGAAAAGAGCATTCATGTTATCTGCAAATTGAGCACCTCTCCAATGGATCAAGTTACTGGGTCATTGATTACCCTCAAGTAGACAATCAGTCAAAGCCTCCACAATCACAGTGCCTGATGGCAGCAAAAGGAAAATCCATTAAATGAAGAATTTGATAAAGATCACATGTTTCATGCCATCTGGGAACTTTATATTGACTCAAATTTCTAAAATTAAACTGCTAATTTGCTCATCTAAAGAATAGATGGATAGAATTATATAGATTTTACTACAAGGGTAATAACTGTCTTGAAAAGGAAAAAATTTTAATGATAGTCCATGCTAAACTGTAAAAAACTCTGAAGGAAGAAGGTTAGGCTCACAGTGCAGATATGAGCATTAGCCTGAAATCTAAGGATGTAAGAAGAAGCTTAGTCAACCAATAAGAATTATACTGTTGAAGAGTATTCTGAACCTTAAATACCAATCTCTGATTATAGAAATCTATTCTATTTATCTAAGAATGGCAATTCTGCTTTTGATATCAAAAGTTAAGTGTAAAGTCAACTAAACTGACTTTTTAAAAGCTCTTTGATAATACAGATTTAAAATATCATTCAAAAAATATTTGATAAATTTTTAATGCCCTAACTTTATTGTTCTTAGGCAAGTAATTTAGGGAAATAATATTTTTGTAACAAATTAGACGTAACTGTTGAAGAAAAGAACAGTGATATATCTGTCTCAGTGACATAAGTAATAAAATCAGGAGGGCTTGAATTTTAATCTGGATCAATATTGCTTTCCTTTTTTGCTTAGGAAAAATGAATTATAGCTAAACATCCAAAATAAATCTGCTTCTATAAAAAAAATCCAGGGAGTGTTTATTTAAGGAAAAATGTCTGAATCTCTGAAAGAACAGAAGGCTTTTTGGCATTTTTACTTGCTATAATCCCATTCTCCTAAATCCAGCTTTGTGGTCTCCCTGAAAATCCACAGTCTTGCCACTATGCTAGCTGTGAAAATCTTTAGCCTAGCAGCCAATGGAGGGAGAAAAACATGGGTTTGAAATTCTCCAAAACCCTCATCCCCAGAAAATTGTACCTATTTGCTCTGTCTGGCAGCTAGCTGAAAAGCCTATTATGAGGGCATGTCTTTATATGACATGATTCAGAGCTCACATGTGTGAACAACCTTCTTCTTACGGTTTTGTCAAAAAATATATATATATATATTCACACACACACATATATCTCAGCATATATATACATAATATTTCAACAACAATTGTTAAACAGTAACAATTGCCACAGTAAGCTGAGGTGGCATTATCATTTAAGGCTAAAAAGAGGCTCATAAATAAATAAAATAAGAAAAATAAGCAACTTGAGAATGAGATATTCATATGGTATTTAAAAAGCTTTGACATATTCCTCAGAACCTAGATAACCACATGCATCTCCAGAACAGTATATATACCCAGGAAAGACTTAAGAAAGCTCTAATATCTGACCTCTGGCTGACTGTGAGGCTCTTTACAAAGAACGATTGAAGGCTGGAAAGGGTTACAAACAACATGACAGAACATTAAAGACATGCCCAATATATTTACACAGAGGTTCTTGACATAGGCTGTGAGATTTATTGGTTCAAGGAATTTAAGAGAACTTTTGTCCTATCATTAGCTGAACACTAAATTAACTGAGCACAGACTTGATTGGCTATGCACAATAAAGAAAACAATCTTTACAGAATTACTCTAGAAAGTCAATAAATAAGCAAAACAAAAATAAACAATAATAAATACTACAGTGAGCTTATTTCCATAGTTGCCAAATTATATAACTTAAAATGCCTAGTTTTCAACAAAAGCAATTATAAGACACCAAAATAGTCAGGAAAGCATGGCCAATACAGAGAAAAAATGCAGTCAATAGAAAATGCCCCTGAGGAAACCCAAATGTTCAACTTATTAGACAAAAATAAGTCAACTATTATAAATATGTTCAAACAACTAATGAAAAATGGGCCTAAAGAACTAAAGGAAGTATATGAACAATGGCTCACAAAATAGACAATATCAATAAAGTATAGAAATTATATTAAAAAACCAAATGTTCTGTAGCTGAAGAGTGCATTAATAAATTAAAAATTCGCTAGGGACTCAACAACAGATTTGAACTAGCAGAAGAAATAATCAATGAAACTTAAGGCAATATATTTGAAATTACTCAGACTAAAGAAGAGAAACAAGGATAAAGAACAGAGTCATAGAGACTTTTAAGAAACCATCAAGCACAGTAATATATATATGATGGAAGTCTTAAAAGAAGACAAGAGGAAGAGCAGGGCAGGAAGAATATTTGAAGAAATAATGGATGAAAGTTCAAACATTTGATGAAAAAATTAATCTGCATATCAAAGAAGCTCAGTAAAACCCAAGCAGGATAAATCAAAGGGATCTAGACCTAGACATGTAAAAGTCAAACTATCAAAAACCAATGATGGGGGGCGGAGCAAGATGGCAGACGAATAACACTGCCAGACAGAGCGTCTCTGCAGAAAAGACAGATTCTAGCAGAAATTAGAGGAAAGAAGCAAGAAGACGAGCATACAGCGGACGACCGAGATCTAAGAACAAGAGAGAAAAGCAATCATAATCATCATATTTACCCAGCACATAGCTAACAATCTGAAAACTATAAGTCTGAGAATCACACTTATAGGTTAAAATACTATAACAATGTGTAATATCCAACTCCAAGAACCAGGTACGACACTATCATAAAGGCAGACATACACGATAAACTCGAACAGAATTGAAATTTAAAATAAACTCTGATGTAACTGTCAACTTCATTTTATCATAACATGTGCCAAGGAAATTTAATGATGATAGTGTTTTAACAAATGATCTGGGACAATTGATATTCAATACAAAAATACCATTTAGACGGACCTTTATTTCACACCATAAACAAAAATAATTCAAAATGATTGTAGTCCTAAATATAAATTAAAATTAAAAAATTGTTAGACAAAAATAGGCGAAATTTATCTGTGACCTTGGTTAGGCAAATACTTTATTGAGCTGATATCAGAGATATCTATTAAAAAGAAAGTTGATAAATTCAATTCATCGAGTAATTTAATACTTTGTGCTTAAATAACATCATTAAGAAAAATGAGAACCAAATCAACACAACTTACAGAATGTTGAAAAATCATATATGTTTAAGGACTTATATCAAAATACATAAACAATTTCTTGCAACCTGTATAGAAAGCAACATATTCAAATTAAACAATCAGGCAAAAAACTGAAAGACATTTCTCGCAAGAAGGTATATATTTAATAGACATTTCTCATAAAGTAAATACCATGAAAATATGTCAGCCATGTTAACCATTTAGGAAATGCAAATCAAATCCACAGTGGTTTACATTCACACACCCACTAGATGCTATACTCAAAAGACAGAAAATAACAGTGCTGTGAGAATGTTGGAGAAATTGGTAACACTCCATACATTCTGGTGGAATTATAATTTGGTGCATTATTGGAAACATTCTTGAAAGTCTTAAAGTTTCAGTATAACTAATATATAACCAGCATTTCACTCCTAGAATCTAACCAAAAGAATGAATCGTATGTTCCACATCAAAGAACTTTATGTTATGTTGATAGCAATTTCAATATATACCCA